GCTACAGTGTATGCCAAAGACAGCAATGGAGAAGCCCACATTTCATACCAACTGTGAATCTTGAATTAGGTCCTTTGAGTAAAAACAAGCACCATTCCTAATAATGACTCTTTTCTACTTTTCTCTCTTCTACTCATCATTCAACCCCCTTAAGCTTCAAACAGACAAATGCCATGATTGTCAGCTTGTAGGCAATTAATTAATAAGAGCTAAAGGAATGAATGAAATTGTAAGTATCATATATCAAGTGACTCATGCTATCTCCCTTCTCCCGTCTGTAAAATTCCCAGACACTAAGAACATCTGATGAACTCAAGTCTAAGTGTCAACAAACATGACTCAAAGAAATCTTTAATCTAGATCAATGATTTTTCCACCCTTTATAAATTGGTATTTTTCAAGGAGCTTCCAGAAAACTCTGATGCCTGGACTTCACCCCAAAATGTCACTAATTCGATTTAGCTGAGTGAAGTCCAGGCCATGGTGGGGTTTTCTAATGTAGTGTCAGGGTGTCAATGTGACCAAGATCCTCAGTACAATGGAACTCTTCTAACCCCAATGTTGTTAATAAGGGAGGATTGTAAAGTGATCTGTAAATATATGACTAGTCTTATCTGGCTAAGGGTAGGTCCCTCAGAGCCACGGGTGTGGCCTGCATGGTATTTGAACTCTGGCAAAAATCTAGAGAGCACCTTTTGTCAGAACCACATCTGCCTATCTGGCTTGTGGTCTCCAGACTTAAACCAGTAGCCTGTCTTACTTGCTGACTTTGGATTTATGTGTCCTAAGACAGTCTTCTCCAACTCTATTTCCCAGCCAAGATCAAAGGCTGGAGCTAGCCTCTGAAACTGGAAGCCTCTGTAGCCAGGAGCCTGAGACTCTGCAGGACCCTGACGACTAGACTTTGCCTTTCTGTTGCTGTACTCTTAAGTCTGAACCTACCCAGCTCTGACCCTCCAGTGGGTTTTTGGAGGCAGTAAATTGAACAGGAGGAGATTGCCCATCCTTCTCCCACAGAGCAGCTGGTGGATTCAAACCCCATGCCTTTGAGATTGCAGTGCAGCTTCTTACCACTAGGCCACCAGAGCTCCCTTTGAATCCCCAGACGCCTCTATCTTGAGGTCTGACCTCAAGTCACTCCCCTATGGACTTGCCTCTAAAATATGTGAGCCATTTCCTCAAAATAAATAACTCTCTCCCTCTCTGATCTATCCATCTATATAAACTCAATGGTAATGAAGGGTGTGGGTGTGTGTGTATGTGTGTGTGTGTGTGTGTGTGTGAGAGAGAGAGAGAGAGAGAGAGAGAGAGAGAGAACCCAATCTAAGATCCACAGACACGGTGACAACTGCTTTTAAACTCCCTCAAAGGCCCAGAGAAGTGATAGCACTACTCCAAGGCCAGAGATAAGATATTAACTGGGTCACGAGTGATTCGGGGGCTACTGACTCACCTTTGGCAACTCTTTCTCTCATGAAGCCTTTCTTCTTTTATCTCATAGACTTCAGCTCCATATCTTCATTTAACAAGTCGTTGCTATGCCCCTAGCTTGTGCCAGGGTCTATGCAGTGAATCCCTCACTATGACCTCCTCCTCCGAAAGAGCTGGGTACCTTGAAACCTCTTATAGTCTACATCATTTGTCCATTCTAATGGGCCAATTTCTTGGGACTAGGGACTTACACATGACTTACTCATTCCCAAAGCTCCAGTGCCTACTATACTACCTGGTCAGGGGTAGATTTGATACCTGTTTGATGAATAAGCAAAGGCAAAGGATTCCTCAATTCTTTCACATGGAATAAAGATGGCTAGGAAAATAGCAAGGAGACCACTTGTACTAGTCAGGTCTTTTTCAATTTTCTATCATTGTGATTATTACAGGCAGACTCGTTGAGTACAACTCATAGTGACCCTGAATCCTGTCCTTCACTATCCCCACACTTTCTGACACACTCAAGCCCATTGCTACAGTCACTGTGTCAATCCATCTGGTGAGGGTCTTCCTTTCTTTGCCCACCCTCTGCCTTTCCAAGTATGATGTACCTTTCCAAGGAACAGTCTCTTCTAGCAACATGCTCAAAGTATGTGAGACCAAGCTTTGCTATCTTTGCATCCAAGGAGCACCCTGGCTGCACCCTCTCCAAGACAGACATACATATATTTGTTCTTTTAGCAGTTCACAGGATGTTCAGTACTCTTCTCCAACACCACAGTTCAAAGACATCAGATGTTTTTCTGTGATCCTTATTCATTGTCCATATCTCAGGAGTATAGCAAGTGACTGAAAAGACTATGGGCCTAAATCAAGTGCACCTCAATCCTCAAACTGACATCATTGCTCCTCAAAAATTTGGAGAGATCCGTGACTACAGACTTTCCCAGTGTAATACATCTCTTGATCTCCTCACTGCTAGTACCAAGTGTACTGAATGTAGATCCAAGTAAGATGAAGTTTTGACAGTTTTAATCTTTTCTCTATTATAATGTTGCATATAGGTCTAGTGGTGAGAATTTTTGTTCTCTTAATGTTGAGATGCAATACATATTGAAGGGTATAATTCTTTGATCTTCTGCAGCAAGCACTTCAAGTCCTCCTCACTTCCTACAAACAAGTATTAATTCACAGACATCCCATTTGAATCTGCTGAGACAAAAGAGGCCTTATAGAACTGGCACATCCAAGTGTGCAGAATTCTAAGACTCAAACCAATCACTGCAGGACTCTTCATTTAGACTAGTCTTCATTCAGGAGCACTCCACATGACAGGAAAGACTGATATGCCATTACTTCAAGGTCATACCCTAGAGTTTTAGCCATCCCAGCATTGACCATATACCAACCCCAGGACTGCCCTGTGGTACCCATCTTTCCATCCCTAAAGCAAACACTGACTTCAGGAAGAAAGTACTCAGATGATCAGTCTGAGTCACAAGCCCCACCTGCAGAAGGGGCACTACTTCACGAGAAGGGGCACAATGTCAGCTTCAGCAAGAACACATGAAATTGGCAGAGCTCCCCCAAGGAACTATAAGACAGGAAAACAGCACCCAGACAGATGTGTACGCCCCCTCTTATGCCATTCTCACAGGATCTGATACACTTAGGCCAATATTGAAGATCTTCCAGTCTTACGCTGACCCTTCATCTTCCCAAGCATGATGTCCTTCTCCAAAAAGTGGCCCCTCTTAACAACATGTCCAAACTATGTGAAATGAAGTGTCACCATCCTTGCCTCCAAGGAGCACCTTGTTGCACTTTCTTTAAAACAGATCTGTTTGTTGTTTTGGCAGTCCATGGGAAAGCATCTATTCTTCTTCTGTCATCTTTAGTCATTGTCTAACTTTCAGATGCATAGCAATCTGCACACCGCTGGCCTGGGTGACAAGGAACCTCACTTCTTCCTTGAGGGGCCAAGAATAGGGGCACAGCCTGGGGCCCAGCACATCCCACAGCAGGAGAGGTGTTGGCTTTCACCTGTCTGTACACCCAAGACTATAATCTGGCCTGGGAACACGGGGGCATTGAAAAAGCTTGGATCAGGCATACCTTGGTTTTTAAACTGATATCATCACTCTTTCATAGTCTAAAGAGCAAGGTCCCTGACAGCAGATTTTCCCAATGCTTCTCGTCTTGGCTCCACAGTCAAAACTCTTGGTACCAGCAGCCAGGAAATCAAGAGATGAATTGCATTGGAAAAGTCAGCTGTCAGGGACCTCTTGATAGTACTGAAGAGCAATGACATCAGGCTGGAAACTAAGGTGTGCCTGATCTGGGCTATTGTCTTCGCAATTGCGTGCTATGCATTGCAGAGCTGGACAGTGACTAGGGATGACAGAAGGAGACTTGATTGATGTCTTTGAGCTATGGTGCTGGAGAAGAGTATTGAATATACCATGGACTGCTAAGAGAACAAGCAGGTTTGTCCTGGAAAGGGTGAAGCCCAGCTGCTCCTTGGAGTAAAGGATTCTGAAGCTTACTCTGACATCCTTTTGGCATGATGCAAGGAAGGACCAGTCCTTGGAGAGGGACATCATGTTTGGGAGAGTGGAGGGACAGCGCAGGAGATCTTCCATGAGATGAATTGATTCCGTGATTGGGGTAGTGGGAGTAGGTGTGTCAGAAACAATAAGGTTGGCACATGATAGACCAGGGTTTAGAACTCTTGTACATAGGGTCGCTATGAGTTGCAAGACACTCTGACAGCACGTAACAACAACAAACTCGTCTTTTGATTTCTTTGACTGCTGTTATCAAGGGTAAGTAGTCCTGTAGTAAACAATTCTTGGAGGGATGGATGATAGCCCTACTCATTGTCTGCACCCTAAAGTTCTTCACCCACCTCGTTCCATCTCCCTAAAAGCTCTCGCGTTAACCATGAAAGGATCCCACTACGAAGTCAGGCAACAGCTTATACTTTTCCTCCCTCTTTAGTGTTGCAGTGGTCAAAGAACCTGGTAATTAACAGAAAGGTTTTTGACTGGAATCCACCAGCCACTCTCTGCAAGAGAAAAATGTAGCAGTCAGCTTTCAGATAGGAATTACAGCCTTGGAAACGGTGGGGCTAGGGAAAGGCAGTCATTAGGAATTGGGTTTGAAAAGACAGACAGCAAGGGGTTTAGATTTGGGGTTTTTTCCATTAACCAGCATCATCTGAATGTGGAATCAATACCAGTAAACTGGGTGTGAACGGAAGGAAGCTGCTCATTATTTACCATTATTTGCCTCTGAGCGTATGCATTTTCTTTCTGTCTCTCCCTGTCTCTAGTTCGTTCGCTCCTTGGGAACTGGTTGAACCAGAGTACAAGCAGCTCATCTGCATCTGGCCCAAGGGAACCTACAGGAGCCAGAGGCTAGAAGGCGAGGAGGCGGGTGGGAGCGTCTGGAGCGGCGGGCAGTGGGCGGCGAGGCGCACAGCGTGGCCGGTGGAGCGCACAGCCCGGCCCGCGCCGCGCCGCTCGCCCAGCCCATGCCGGGCCAGGGCCGCCCGGGGCCCGCTCATGAGGCCTCCGCCGAGTCGGAGAAGGAAGCCCCGGGGTGTCTCTGTGGGACTCTTCGCCCTGTGCCTGGCCGCAGCCAGCAGTCTGCAGAGTAAGCACCAGGCGCGGGTGGCGGGGCGCGGCTGCTGGGCGGCGGTAAGGGGCGCGGGCAGGTCTAAGTGCCGGAGCTGGCTGGTCTAAGTAGGGGGTGCTGGGCTGTATAAGGGGGCACAGACAAGTCTATGGAGGTGGCGCAGACAGGTCTTAGTAGGGGGGCTGGCAACTAAGTATGGGGGCACAGATAATTCTAAGTAGGGGCGCCGACAGCTCTAAGTAAGGGGCGCAGACAGGTCTAAGTAGGGGCACTGATTGGTCTAAATAGAGGGCGCTGGCACCTCTCGGCTCCCGACCCGGCGCGCTGCCCGCTCTCTGCTCCCGACCCCGCGCGCTGCCGGCCGGGCACTGAGTTCTTTGAGGGGCTGGGGGCAGCCAGGGCCCGGTGCACCCCGAGGCGCGAGCAGCTCTGGCTCCCCAGCTCTGCGCACCCCCGGGTTTCCCCGGCCGCAGACCTTGGGAGGAGAGTGTCCGCGTTAGGGGATCCGGAAGCCGGCCCAAGATATCCAGCTTCCGGCGGTGGCCACCTCGCCTGCAGCATTTTATTCCTTTTTCCTGGAATAACCATGACTGAAGCCGAGTTGTCCAGACTGCAGGGTCCCCTGGGCCCTGCGCCCGCTTTGGGAACCTTTCCTCACACACCTGCTTCCGGGTCGGACCGAGGGTGGGGGCGCGTTGGTTTTACCAACAAAATGCTTTAACTCTTTGGTCACCAGTGCCTGCTCCTGGGGAGAAGTGTTGAGATGTGGTCCGAATATAGGACCCGAATCTTTTTTTTTTTTTAAGATTATAAAGGATCTGAATGATTACTTTCTTTTTTATTGAGATTTTAATGAGAGTTTACCGAGAAGTTTGATTTCTATTCATTCATTGACTCACATTTTCCTCCCTCGTCCCCACCCACCGCCCCAGTTCACTTTTCTCTTTAAATTTTTTTTCATTGTTGCAAGGACCCGAATTCTACTTATTTAATTTTTTTTAATTCTAAATTTCTTTTCATTAAAGTTTACAGAGACTTTGGATTCCCATTCATTCATTGTTGCACTTTTCTCCCTGCCTCCTCTCCCCTCCAGGACCTGAATTCTTAAGGCCAGAAGTGGTCCTCACCCCCTAGGCCCTGACCATATCGCTCTGCACGGGCGGACAGGCTGGCCCTGCAGCCCTGGGTCTGCTGGATGGGATGTAACACAGTCCCTAACAAACTCCTATCACACAAATGGCACGTTGTAACCTGGAACAGATTACCCAATAGGCAAGATAAACATGAGTTTACTTGTTTACTAATCTATACTGAGCATTCATATGGTCTCTATGAGTCATCAATGGCACTTAACAATAACTACATAGAGAGAGCTCTGTTGGCCTAGGGGGTAGAAAGTTACGCTACCAAGCCAAAGGTGGATGATTTTAATCTGCACCACTCAGGCCTGGTTTTAATTGTTTTTGGTCAAACATTCTTCTAAGTGGTATAGCACTGGTCTGTCCATTTGCTGTACAGAGGTAACTCGTGGTTGCTGTGATGCTGAACACTGTGACACTGTTGTGTCAAATGCGATAATGGTTTTCTATGATGGACAATGTTTGGTGGAACTCCTCAAATAAAACAGTCTTGTAAGTAGGAGTGTCATCCACTTCCAAAATAGCTTGCTTCTGGAAACTCTATGAACCTGGAGAAACAATGAAAGTTACACAAGTATTCAGGTCTTTTGTTCATAGGATCTCTAAGAGTTGTCTACAATTCGACAGCATTTAACAAGAACAATACTGAGCAGTTTCATGTTTTCACCACATCAAAATCACGTGAAACCCTTAACTAACAATACTGAGCAGTTTCATGTTTTCACCACATAAAAAAATATGTGAAACCCTTGACTACAGACTAGTAAACACATGCTTGCCTTCTTACTAGGTAATCCACCCCTGTCAGAGGTTCTAGGTTTGAAAAGATGTTTTGATTATGTAGGGAGATGCTGTGAGTCTGGGAAACCTAGGAGCAGAATCTTTGGCATGGTGGAAAAAAAAGTAAAATTGTTTGATAAAGACTAGTAAAGAAACACAAATATATACCTGGTCTTTCCTTGTTTATTGTATAATTATTTAATCGTGTCTTCTTATAGCTCCCATTTTACAGAATAATGGATTAGGGAATTGAAGTTTAGAGAATAACCAGAACAGAACCAATCAGGTTGGGAGATTTTATTGAGCACATCTGTATTCACTATGTTTGGGTTTTACCAGGTTCCTAGCTTTTAATACTGAGGACAATTGTGTGAAATAAGTGTTACTCTTATTTCTGTTAAACCAAGGCATAGAGATCGGTTAAATTGCTAGCTTACAGATGCTGACTTCTATATGATTTACAGCCTCTGAAACCCCACTAATGGCTCAGCTAGGAGTCGATTACTACCCAGTGGTCATGAGTTTAGCTGCTATCCAGTGATTTGTCATATACATGTGCCACATTTAAGGAGTCCTGGTAGCATAGTACATTACCAGCAGAGCTGCTAACACAAGGTTGGCAGTTCAAATTCACCAGCCAAAGAAGGACATGGGCAGTCTCCTCCCATGAAGATTTGCAATCTCAGAAACCCAATGGGGAGTCGCTGTGTCAGAACCAGTATGGTGGCAGTGGGATTTTTGTTGGGTGGTAGTATAGTAGGTCAAGAGCTGGGTTGTTTGCTTCTACCAGCCATGTTCTAGGAGATTCCATAAAGATTCACAGCCTTTGACACCCGATGTAGAGTCACGAGTCAGAGTTGACTTGAGGGCAGGGGGATTGGTGGTTTGGTTTGGGAGGGACATTTGTGCTTTCAACTTCTAATCCTGAAGCAAGGGAGGAATCTACCACCGTGCAATGGATACAAGCCTAGCACTGTGCACATGCTAAGAAGGGTGGGGAAGGGTTTCCTCTGCACACACACCTCCTTCCTACCACCGTACTGTGCTGGGTGAACACCAAGTTTAGTGTTCAAAAAGTGACCAGAATATGCAAAGGGATAAATCAAACCACAGAGTCACCCCACTTTCTTCATTTCTGGTTTCTAATGGTCTTTTTGGAAGCAGGAGTGACATCCACTTCTGTAATAGCTTGCTTCCAGAAACCCTATGAACCTGGAGAGAGGATGAAAGACACACAAGCATTGAGAACTCTCCTTCATAGGGTCGCTATGAGTCGCCTGCGACTCGACGGCACTTAACAACAACAACAATGATCTTTTGGGACTTCTGCTGGCTTGATAGGTAAGAAGTTACACTACAAACCCAAAAGCATGTGGTTCAAATCCACTATCTGCTACTTGGGGGAAAATCTCCTCCTATGTGATTTGCAGCCTCTGTTACCTAGTGGTAAGATGTTGTGCAATAAACTCAAAAGTACATGATTCGCATCTACCAGCTGCTCTGAGGGAGAAAGATGGGCAGTCTCTTCTCACGTGATTTGTTGCCTCTGAAAACCCACTGGAGGGTCTGCTATGAGTCAGTTCTGACTCCATGGTACATAACAACAACACTGGGGCCTAACTAAAAAGTTGGAGGTTCAAATCCTTCAGTTGATGCCAAGGAGAAAACATGAGCCTGTTTGGTTCTGTAAAGATTTAAAGCCTCAGAAATCCTAGCAGGCAGTTTTACCTTGTCCTGTGATGAGGAGTTTGGCCTCGGAATTGGAGGAAGACTGATCAGCAACTTGCATATTCAGATAACACAACCTTGCTCACTGAAACTGAGGAGGACCCGAAGCATCGGCTGAAGAAAATCAAGGACTGTAGTCTTCAGTATGGATCGAAGCTCAACATCAAGATGACAAAGATTCTAACCACTGGGCCAATTGACAGCACTGTAATTGATGGAGAAGAGATTGGATTGTTAATAATTTCCGTTTGATCAGCTCCACAGTCAACACTTTTGGAATCAGCAGCCAGAAAATCACAAGATGAATTGGATTAGGAAAGTCTGCTATCAGGAACCTCTCTAGAGTGCTGAAGAGCAATGATATCAGTCTAGAGACTAAGGTGCTCCTGATCCAGGCCATGGTCTTCACAATTATTTGCTATGCACCAGAGAGCTGGGCAATGACTAAGAATGATAGAAGAAGAATCAATGCCTTTAAGTTGTGGGGCTGGAGAAGAGTATTGAACATACCATAGATTACCAAGAGAACTAACAGGTCTGTCCTGGAGAGGGAAAACCAAGTTGCTCTCTGGAGGCAAGGATTTTGCATCTCCATCTGACATACTTTGGGCATGTTGCCAGGCAGGACCAGTGCTTGGAAAAGGACATCATCCTTGGAAGGGTGGAGGGACAATGCAGGAGAGGAAGACCCTGAATGAGATGGATTTACTCAGTGACTAGGGTAATAGAGGCAGTGTGTTGGAGACAGTGAGATTGGCTCAGGGTAGGATGGGGTTCAGAACTATTGTACATAGGGTCACTATGAGTCACAGGCAACTCGACTGCACATAACCACAACAGCAACATGGGTTTGCTGTGAGTTAGAATTGACTTGGCAGCAGTGGGTTTGGTTTTTTTATTAACAGCAACACTACTGTTTGGGTTTGGCAGCGTTCTAGGTGTGGTAGACAACTAAAGAGGAAGTGGGTGTTATCCTAACAAGAACCTCTTGGGCATTTAGCCAGTGTCCTACTCAGAGACTTTGCTGATGCTGGACCATCAGCACAGGCTCCTGGCATCCCGCATCCTTTGTTTGCCCTGGGAAATGGGCTTGCTGTAGGAAAGCTTCTATTCATCCAGCAGAAGTGAGAGTGAGTGGGAGGAGATTGGGAAGTTCAAAGTTGGAAATCATTTCCTCCTGTAACTGATTCTCTGAGCTAAGAAGGCACCTGTCAGCCCTGGGGGCAGAAGGGAAATGGCGCTGGACCTTGCAGTCAGCACAGGACATACCTGTTCAAATGTCCTTGTGGTCAAGAAAGCACAGTGGCCCTTTGCCTGCCTGAGTGCACCCTCAGGTGTGCATGCTGTCCACACTGATGCCAGGGGAGCCTC